ATTTGCTGACATTGGATCCCTTGGGTTAGAGCTTGACTAGCCCGGGCACCCAGGAGTCTGAACATATTTGTGCTCTTTGGCATCGATGGCGTCGACGTGATTGCGGCAGAAGAGTACCGACTCACGGCCTTGAACACTTGTCAAAGCTCCGGCTACCAGCTTGCGCCTCTTTGCGGATGACCTCATCTTGGGACTGCATGCTCATATCATGGCATCTACCAGTAAAACAAATTTCACAGGCTGCTTGCAAGTTTAGAGCAATGTGCAGGCTAAGCCACTCGGCCTCCTCGGGGGAGCCGCCATGCTTGTAGCACAAGCGTGCTTCGAGGTCGCGTTGCTGCGGAAGCAATTCCCAGCACTGTATCCGGCCCTGGTTGGTCTTCGCCAGCTGGGCTCTGAGGAATTGAGCGCCCTTGGTGGAGCCCAAATCGAAGCTCCCGGAAAATGGGCGATGAGCGGCCATACACGTTGTGGGAGCGCGTGAATGCCTCCGAGGGCTCTGCCATCACGCCAGCATCCAGCCAAATGGCCGTGTTCTCGCCCGAGAGGAGGTCCGGAAGCCCATCCAAAATCCTGAGAATCATGTTCCCAATAGAAGATGTGCTCTATGTGCTCATGTCACACTGTGTGGACATTTTACAATAATGAAGCGACAAGACACGGCTTGATCGCATCATAGACCGTTCTTCCATCAGCAAGACTCTTGCGATCCAAAATGATAAATTTGATGTAGTGTCCAACCTCAGCCTTAGCGCATGCACGGATCGCCTTGTCCGAGTCGCTCCTTCTCCCGGGCTGCTGTGCAGCAGGCACGGGGGAGGAGCATCCATCATCGTCCTGCTGCTGCCGGTCGGTCTCGACAACAGGCGGCCCCAGTTGAGCCGGTTGAACCTCCTGGGGCAATGCCTGCCGCCACCTGACGGACATTCACGCAATAATTCCGCAACGTTATGTTCCTGTCTCTACCTCTGGGCTCGGATGCTATCAAGCTGCTCCTGATACGCTGCCTGAAAAATTGCCTGCCCCCTGTGGCTGGCAATCTGAGCTCCACTGCTGGCATCCGGCATCTCATTGATGATGCTGCACAGCTCCTGCCCGAAGCTGCAAATAAAAGGAAACAGCGGCTCAAGCATGACCGTTGCATGCATGCATCGCCGTGTCCTTGTAATACTTTCCACGTATGATGGCCTGGAGAAGCTCCATCACCACTTTGCCATGGCCTGGCAAGCCGAAGGGCACCAACTTCTCCTCTCGGAAAGCCTCGAGGTACTCATCCACCCGCAAGAAACAGCTCAGGTTCCAGGAGCTCACACCCTCAAGGTTCTTGAAGATCCCACACAAGTGGGAAAGCAGATGGTACGTGAGCACCACGGTCTTGGCAACCCGTGGCGCCGTTTCCTGCGCACATTTGGCTACTGGATACGCATCATCTCATATATATATATATATATATTTCTGCTTATAATTATACGCACACACATACCGCCCGCCTTGTTCAGCTGACTAACAGACAGCTCATCTGACCAAACCATTTCGGAATCCACTGATGAGCCACGCACGGCCAACTCGAAGATGCCTCGATTAAATACCATTGCCATGGGTGGACCCTGTGCAGTTCACACCTCCCCCCGATCCATCGCAATGCAGCTCGGCCACGCCCGACAAAGCCCAGCTCGGCGCCGTTGCTACAGCAGCCGAGGAGTCTTGTCATTACACTCCACTGGCTCACCCAACTGGCCTTGCCGTCGATCCATTGGAGGTTTTGCCACACTTCCACGACACGGCCTTCTGCTGCCCGGGAGAGCATGCGCAGCAACTTGGCGATCTGATCGGCCGATCTGACCTCTGAACCATTCAGTTCTCAGCAGAAGTGCAAGGAACACGCAGTCACGACACAAAGACCCGCCTGTGACTCCTTGGAGGCAAAAGAAAGGCTGCTGTCGGCTACCTTCTCAACGAATTCGGCGTACAAGGCTTCAGGGGTAGCCGCCAGCCCGAGACCGACGTTGAGGGATTTCAGCCTTGGTGGCCCATTGCGCAGAATGATTGAATTCATCCAAACGTTGGCTGTCCGACGACTGGGTTGGCCACTGCTCTAGCCGCTGGGCCAGCCTCCAGCAAAGCTGATTGCCCTCCTGCATGGTGTCAAAGCAAGACATCCCGGATGATAGGCGAGTGAATTTACAACTGATTTTTGTGTTAGCACTTTACTAGGGCAAGTCCTCCTTGCAAACCTGCTGCACGTCTTCGCCGGCTTTGTGGACTAGCCAATATGCAGCCTTGCTGTCCGCCAGAGTGGGAATCACGATGGCATGGATTGCCTGTCGGGCATAAAGACTAGTCAACGCTTGGCATCATTCAATTCTCGCTTCTCACAAAAACCCTTGTGGACACGATCCCGGTGTTGCTTCTGCAACTCGTACTATACAGCATCCACGGCACCTGCCCAAAATTTCCTCGCAAGACTTGTAGCCCTAAAGCACCATGCAGGATTTATAATTTAATTGTCTTGGGCATATACTCACATGAGACTTCAGGAAGAGGCATATACGATCGGCTCAAAGATTCAAGAAACAGCTGCCCGACCTCCGCTGCTGCTTTGAACCGCTTGCATCTCTCGGGGTCCTTGTCGTAGATGGACTTTGCCCACTGGATGATGAAGGCCCCGAGCCGCGAGAGATTCGCGGTGGCCATTAGCTCGCCCCTACCATAAAGCTGGCTCGCATAACACTTGCAAGTTAGACTGCGACAGGCCTCCCAGAGCTTGCTGTGGCTGCAATCACGAGCATGCTCGGCAATGTAATATCCGACTTCCCCGGCCCGTACCAATACTCGGCACTCGCGGCAAGCTCCGCGGAGGTCGGAAAGCTCAGCCCTGGCAGTCACAGGACCACACGAGAAGAAGTTCAATTACTCCGATTGAAATCAAACATGTCGATATCACCTGGGCCTGGCTTAGAGATGCTGATATCTCCGAGAACGACGAGGTAATGGTTCTCGGTCGTCGTGCCATC